TACACACACACACATACACACACATTTTTATATATTAAATATTTGAAATCGCAATAATATTTCACATTTTTACAGTTTTTACTGTATTTTGATCAAATTAATGCATTAAAAAACTTGTTAAAAAATATTACTAAACCCAAACTTTAGAATGGTAGTTTATATCAGTTACAATGTCAACATTTCAGAAGGCAATCCCAGAATGCATTGCAACAAGATCATAACTTTTCTGTTTCAATCTGACAGTAACTCAGAAATGGAAGGCATGTCTCTACACACCTGAAAGTAGAGGTCCAGAACAGCAGTCATGTCTGTACCATCTGGAAAGCACTGCATAAAGAGAAATTTAGATTAAAACATGGAACCACTCCTGGACAAATGGGCCATTTACACAAAAAATGTTTTTCCATTCCATTGTGCTAATTTTGCATTTTATGTAAACAACATGCACTAGACAGACATCTTTGACCATTGCGCTTGCGTCTCGCATCTTTTGCAGTATTTCATGCATGATACGGCATTCTAAAAACACGTTAAAAGCTCAAGTTAAAAGTTCAACACATCTTGGAGCCTTGCGTTTTTTCCTCCTTCCACTGCCTGCGTCTCATGTTTTTCAAAGCAAAAACGTGTTCTGTGTGAATGGCCCCAAAAAAGTAACAGCATGTAAAATGTTAAGGGTATATGTGAAGAGAAATAGAGAGATGATTGGGTGCAATAAATCACCTAATCACATCAAAAGCTCCCTGAGATACTAACCTTCTTTTCTTTCAGGTAATAGCCAATAGCGAAATTCCTGTCTCCTGACTCACGCTCTGACTGGAATCTAGACCAGTTGACATAAATAATCAGTTACCTCAATCAAACCCAACAACACAAATCATGCATAACATGAAAGTACAGAAGAGGATTATTTTTTGACTGTTTGCCCACTGTATCTATGATCAAAACTATAAAACTGGTAGCTCAACATACGTGGCATTGCTAAAACCAACATATTCATTTCCTGCCATCATCTTCAAGAAGCTCATCATCTGCAAGAGAGAAATCAGAACAGGTCAAACTCAAAACAACAGTTCCTGTGAAAAATATATCATAATCGTTTCATAAATGACTTACATAATCAAACTTCTCAGCATTGCTTGCCCCTTGCTGAAAGACAAAGGAAAGAAATAATAGACATATAAATATATTCTCATTAAAAGAGATAAAAACACATTTTTAAAAGTAGCATCACGGGGAGATAATAAATCAGAACAGTAACTAACTCATACGGATTAGCAGCAAGTAAATGGATCATTTCATTCCTTTAATATTACCAGTACATTGCTAAAATCGTCAGTTAGTAATCTGTTGTTAGAAATCAATGAGAAGATCACAATAATTTCATATGTGTTCTACAGTAAAGTACTATTATGCTCTACAAAGGGAATGATGATGAACCGCTACAGAGCAAAGGCTGGAGTTAAACGTGTTCATGAAGACCTATAGGCCAAACATAGAAGTGGGTCAAAAAACAGAGTGGATGTGAATCAGCAGGGTTGGTAACGTCTTAAGATGATGTGCGAGGAGGATCTGTGCATTGTGTGTTGATGTGTTTCTGAGTGAGTGTGGATCAGTGTCCATTAACCTACAACTTTCTGCCGGACTGAGTATGGCTTGAGGCACCCATCAAATTAATGCAAAGAGAGCCATTGAGGTTGATTGCATTACTGCCATAAATTAACAGTGACTAATGTGTTTGTTTGACTGTCTGTTTAGACTCCTGAACATCAGGGGTGTAAAGTACTCCAATAATTGCACTTAATTACTATATTTATGTATTATTTTGGGAAAACTGTATTCTTACCTAATTACATTTACAAAGGGTGGAAAAAGTATAATTGCATTAAAGCTTGACAATACATTTGTTGTATGTATAAACAATATCATTAAAACGTTTGGGTGAGATTTTTGTTGTTGTTGAAAGAAAGTAATGCTTTAAATTCACAAAACCTATGGTAAAGACTTTTACGCTGTTACAAAAAAATCAATTTCAATTAAATCCTGAAATGATCAGTTTTCACAGAAATTCTAGGCACCACTTTTCAACAAACAAAACTCTTTTCAATGATTTTTCATTGATAATAAAATAAATGTTTCTTAGGCACCAAATCAGCATATTAAAAAGATTTCCATAGGATAATGTGACACTGAAAACTGGAACTGTAATGGCTGTTAAAAATTGTACACTTTGACTTAAAGCAATAATATTTTAAGTCAAATCGTTGTTCATTGTTGAACGGAATTTGAGTGCTGCTAACTTCAAAAGTTTGAATCCAATTTATTTGCATTGTGCTTTTTACAATATACATATACATTTCAAAGTACATTCATAAAAAATATTTAAAAATTAAATAGATAGATAGCAAGATAGAAAACAACTGGTAAGTCTTTGACCATTACAAAGTCAGAACACTCCAAAAAAAAGAAAGAAAAAGAATTAAATGGGCTGCTTTACAAAGTTTTTTCTTATTGCATTTCTTTATTCTATTTAATTACAATTAAATTTGGAAACTTTTATTTCACTTAAGTATGTTTTATCAAAAGTTTACTGAATTAAAATAACAGTAACCATAACTGAATGCAAACACAATTTCTCTGTACTTTTTACACCCCTGCTAGACATTATTATATATTCATGTGTATGAAAAAATGCTGAATGTATTGCATACCCAGTTTACTTCAGAAACACACAAAGGCCATGCATCAGTATTTTTGCACTGAGATCTTATGAAAAAAGGCAGAATAAAATAATAACACATGGTCTCTATGGGCTTCCGTAGTTTCCAGCAGTAAAGACCATTTGGTCCTGCACAGATGCTCTCTACTTTATGCAGACGCCGCCTTATTAAGGAACACAATGGCACTACTGATATTTTAGTATCCAGGCTTGTTCATGGGGAGGGAGGGAAGAATGGAAAGGAAAAATTACCAACGTCATTGACCTGCAGCAGTGGTCAAAAAATCCCACAGATCCTACGTCTGCAAAATATGCAACAACATAAAACAGCACACAGAGCCTTCAACAGCATATCACACGCTTTTAGTACACGCTCATGACCGTGCTCAAGGACTCGGAAGGAATAGGAGGAAATGATGTCATGCGTTACTTGGGTGCAAAGGAAACCGACAGGCACGACTTACATTCAGCACTGACCTACCAGAACACATCAGAGAGGTGAAAGACATTTTGCGTCACACCAATATCACAGGAGAACAATGAGAAAAGCAATCACAATGATTGAGTTTAGGTGTGATGGGAGATGTGAGGTTGAACTTCACGTCTGTGTTGTTCACAGGATGCCCAACATTCATCACGCAGAGTGACGATGCATCCTTTTAATGTGTGGATTGGTGCTGGCTTAAAACAGATTCTAGGGCTGTCAATTGACTTTTAATCACATTAACACTAGTACCGCCACGGGGTAAATTTTACCCGTGGCTGTTTTTAAAACATACATAAAAGATTTTTAATAAAACATTCAGTCTCCCAGTCTCCCAGTCACTGACTTTTACTAAAATTGTGTGATTTACAATCCCCTGTTGTTAAAAACTGCTTAGATAAAACCAAATCAAAAAACGGGGCATTTATACCTATAAGTGCCAGCGTGGGTCAAATTTACCCACTATATAATGCCTGTATGTTCGCGCTGTCATTTTCATGCCACTTATGATTTAACATAGTACATTGCTAGGCAACGCCTTTCACTCACTGAATTAGCGGTTATCAGTTTCATAAATATGTATTTATAAATTCATAATAAATTCACCACCTAAATATGTATTTACTTCCTTCTAATTCTCATTGTCAGAGCAGGCTTGTTTAGCTTAATATTGACCGTTATGAAAAGTGACTAGTGTAGCCTGCATAAAAAAGCCTTGAACATAAAACAACAGGACAAAAATATAGTTGATGACTCGACAATCATTTCATGACTCTAGACCCTTCTTTGTGAAGACAGTAGCATAATACAGTGAAATAATATGTTTTTTAGCCATTCAAAAACAGCTGTCATGTGTGTGGGTAAAATTTACCCGCTGGCGCTTTTAGGTATACAGCGACCCCTGGCGGTTCTAGTGTTAAGTGCATGGTTTGTAACAAATTAATCAATTGCAAATTTGATGAAAAAAGCCCACAAAAGAAGATAAATAAAAGATTTTACAGATCTTTTCTACAAAAAGTGCCTTTAGACATCAATATATATTTATTTTTTTTCCAGAGCACTCCCTTTTGCAGTCGGGTCTGTCAACCCCTCCAAGATATATATGTTTTGTCCATCCACAGTGTTTTTCTATGTGAACAGGTACTAGATATACATCAGTGACGGTTGCAACGTCTAGACGAAAGTAGTTCATCTTTATGATTTATTACACTAAAATTACATATTAAATTGACAGCCCTAATGAATGCATAAAAATATGAACTGTTTGCAAGCTTGTCAATGCAGAGGATGACAATAGTTCCTACATCATAGAAATGTGTATGTGCGTTTGTATGTGTGTTTTGTTTAGAAATGATCACTCTGCATAACACACACACATGCATATGTATACAAGGGCTAAACTGTGAGCATATATTACAGTGTAAACTGTGCATAAGGCAATAAGAACCTGTGAATCTACAGCATCTACATCTACATTACAAAACCGCCATAAGCCCAGCTGGAGTGTTTTTCTTGTCTTGTGTGTTTGCACATGGATTAAAACACATAAAAGACCAAGGTGAATCCGCTGTAGCACACAAACACAACCAAAAGATGCAAACAACTCCAAGAAATACCAGCCAGTCTTCATTAAACCACTACAAAGGCTTATAGCAAAAACTTTATATATGATGCATTTTATAGTCTACAGAGAATTTTTTTTAATAAGGCACAAGTAGGGGTGGGCGATATAACCAATATTCACAATATATTTGCAATGATTTTTCCTGTGATGTAAAATCAAGCAACTCTGTGAATATCTTGAATATCTTATTGATTTTAATGCAAAGTTTCCTAAAAGTGTTTAAGTAGTAAAAGTAGCTTAAAGGGGTCATATGATGCGATTTGTGGATCACCGGATCGGCTTTCACCGTGGACGAAGCAGAGTCCAGCCTGGGGTCGTCACATGTGGTTGCTGCACGCCCGCCGGCCGCCGCTCACTCTAGCCCGCACGCCACCGCTCACTCTAGGACTCCGGCCACAAAATAATGTTATTTTTAGCAACATCATATGACCTCTTTAAGTAGTAAAAATGACATTGGAAACAATTTCACAACTTTGATTAAATGATTTGTTTGCATCTTGTGTAAGACTTTTATATATTAAATGTTTTTATATTAATATATATATATATATATATATAGGAAAATACTGTGGTTTGTTGCCACATACTGTTTTGATGCATATAAATAAAACAATGGAATATTCTTTCTTGTGTTCAACAATGCACATCTGCCTCGATTCTGTCTTGAAAGTAATTATAAGATTTTTATTAAAAAATGTATTGTATATAAAATATTACATTAAAATCAAATAACAAAAGTCTGAAAGAATAATCATAAAAAATATAATATATTTTGTTACATATCTTTTTTCTGAACACATGGGCCTAATTAACACTCAGAGAGGCACTAAAATGAAATAGATTATATAATTTTTTCTCCAGCTGCTTTGACATTTATAAACAACATTCTAGTATACTTATGTTCTATAGACCACTCTTCTCACGATCTATGACGTCTCATTACGAAAGCACTTACGTAAACAATTACGTATGATTTAGGGTACTGAATGGGCTCTGTTATGTAAATTAGATAATTTTTAAATAGTTATTGTGCAATTTTTGTATAAACCATTTATTTATTCAGTTTTATCCCCCAGCCTAAGTCACAAGAGTGGGTGGAAAAAATGTGGCGAACAGAAAGTCTGAATGAATTTTACTCAAAATTCATTGCCAACAGACTTTTAACAATAATGGTCCTGAAAACGGGATGAACTCCACACATTTAATTCACAATGAGAGTGGAGGCCTTGAGTAGGTGTACTGTGTACAGTAATAAAACAGAGAAAAGACAAGAACCACCAACAAAACACACTGATTGTCATTTAATCTTAGTCTAGGCAGCACTGATCACAATCACTTATTCAAAACACAACTACAGCCAAAATGATTACTGCATGTGTCTCAAAAACGTTTATCAACAATATTCTGGCTACTGCCAAATATTATAATCTGTTCTGGTTAATTCAAATCAGGTAAATGTGAGTACAGTTAGGAGTAGTCAAAAACAACTTCTAACACGAAAATAAAATAAAAACAAAAGGAAGATGCTTACCTTGATAAGAGAGGTACACACGATTGCACCAGCATTCACCATTGGATTATGGGGTTTGTCTGTGGAAAAATAGAATTTCTTATTTCTTTGGGCTGCATATTTAAAAAGACACATTGTAGAATTGATTGTAGAAAAAAAGCAGTCATGCTGAAGCTGATGGTTATAATCCTTACCGTCCTCATCCAGGAAGAGCTTGTTGAAGCGTAAGCCGCTGGGCTCTTTCCCAATGAATCGGTGCACATATTCAGTGCCGTGGTCATGCACGGCAATAGCGTACTTGAGCGGCTTCACGCATGACTGCAGGCAAAATGGCACTTTAGTGTCACCCACTGTGTGTCTGTGCAAAAGAGTAAACAGAGATCAGAACCAGAGACATCATCCTATGGTCCATATAAGCAAACAAACAAAAATAATGATCCTAAAGGTGAACCTAACAGATAGACTGTGACTCTAACATGATATGAAGATGTCTGAAATATAGAAAAAAAAAAAAAGAAAAAAAAACATGAGCATGATTAACAGAGACACAAAGGCATTTAAATTTATGATATATTTTCTTGTTTTCTCCAATTGCTCCGACCTTTATAAACGGCTCTTTTCACACTCTATAAATTCTCATTAGGAAAACATTTGCAATAATTATGTATGATTTAGGCTACTGAATGGAATTACATAAATGTGTATATATTTTTTCAGCAACATTCAGAAATGTCTATTTTATATAAAATGAAACATATAAATAAAATATGTAATTATACGGTTATTTTTTAGAATTTATTTTTCATCTCTCAATACTTCAAATAAATAATAAATAATTGCTTTTTCTAAATTTAATCCAAATGAACAGTTGTGTCAATGGGCAGTGATTTCAATTATAATTTTGCTTTAAAAATACATTTTAAAGTATAAGTTGCTGTTGTACATAGATTTCTATTTTTCATATTCAGAAAAAAATAAACAAATGAAATAGACAAAAATTAAATAAGTAAATAGATAAAAGGATTCTTTAATAACTTTAAACAACTGTTGCAAGTTTGCTAAAATGGAACTATCAAAGTTAATTAAGTTAATCAGGTTTTTTTGTTTAAAGACTTTAATAGAAGAAAGTAAAATGACTAATGTTATTCCATCATTTTTTGTCAATAGGTCAAGGCACAGTGTTGTTGCCCAAAAGAGATAGTTATTGTGTAACTAGTGAATGACCATAGTAATCAACACAGGGGTATGTAGGCACCCTGTGTATCTTTACAACAAATCCTATAGCATGGGGTAAAAACATACAGATGATATCTTAATATGTCCCAATTATCAGAGATCAAATGATGTACCATGACACATGGGTCTAAGTATTGAGGGAAACATTAATGACTGTGAGTTTATAGTCCTCTTATCAATGATTCTCAAATGAGAGGATTAACATTAGCACATTTTATCTGCGCTGGGTGACTAGTCCAGGAGATAAGTGGAGCGTTTATTGAACGATAAGATTAGCTGCCACTTTATCTGATGGTTTTATAACATAAAATATATGAAGTATTTCCGGTACTTGTCATAATGTACATATAGTGAATGGTCAGTGGTAGCGCAATTCAAGTGGTCTGGTTAATAAATACCCAAAATGATAACCAAAGGTTGTTGAAATATGAAAATCTTAACACTTTGACATGAAGCTAAACCTTTTTAAGGGACAAACGCAGTGAAACTAGTCACTGATGGTTTAAAAAACAGTTCCTCTCTATAGATGAAGTTAAACTAAGTTAATCTCAAGCTAAAATGAGTAGTTGTCAGTAAATGAAGGTGTATGATTCATACCTTTGTCCATCGACTGTGCAAAGGGAAACGGCCCACAGATCTGGGCTGAATTTGGCAAGTTGGGGAATGTAGTCAGCAACCTGTGAGCAAAAGAAATAAGTGATCAAAAACAATGGCTGTGTCAAGTTGAAAATAATCACTAAGAGTTATTATTTGTGTTTCTCTCATCTTACCAGTCCTCCGGAGAGATTTCTGGCCTTCTCATAAAGTGTATCGATGTGGGAGGCAAAAGGCTGGAAATCAGGGATGACAAATTTCTTCCGGAAGGCCTGTGTGAGGAGAACAATGTTGCTTTGGACACACCTGGAGAAACAAAGAGGACAGAGATGATGAATTAATACCTACTAGTGGGTTGCTCATCATTTATGGTAGAAAGTATGTCTTTGTTTTGTGTAATTATATGACAAATATCAGAGATAAAAGTTAACTCCACTATTAAGCTCGACTATAAGACCAATTATCTGCATAACAGGGCTCAATCATGCTGTTTAGTTGTAAAGAGTTTTTTTTATTTTTTTAAGTGTGTTCTGTAGGGCGAAAAGTGCTTAAAATTCAACACTTTTGTATTTTGTATTAATTGCGGCCCTCAAGAATCAATGCAACACACATAAATACAGAAACACTGAATATACATAAATACAATCCTTTACACTCCTTCCTCACGAACCTAAATGTTTATTTCCACATTGATTGAAGGTAAAAGAGCAACAGGCTGGATCTGTTCCATTGAACATTTCCCACAGAAAAATGAACGATTTTTTTTGTAAAATATCAAAACATCTATGGTGTAAGAGAGGAAGCCATGGCTTGTTTCACAGAGCTTCCACTATAAAGCAGAGGGAAGTAAAGCATCCACAGACATCATAAACACAGACCTCTCCTGTGATTGTGTCTGAAATATTGGTCCAGCTGCTTTACGAAGGTCCCTGAACGGAAAGATAAGCTCAAAATAGCTGTGCACAGTGCTGCTGTGCAGATTTATGTAGATGTGAATTTTCAAAAGATAATATATTACTTGCCATCTATAGGGCAGAGAAGCTAAAGAGGAGCCCATATGTTTGGAATAGCATACAAGCTTGCTACTATTTCTGCAGTATGTACCTAGACGAAGATGGCGCCGACGCTGATGGCTGCCTCCATGGCGTGCTCCGCATATCTGTGTTTTTTGTCCTGTCACTGTCATTCTGTTACACTGTGGAAGCTTCTGTCACGAAAACAAATTCCTCGTATGTGTAAACATACCTGGCAATAAAGCTCATTCTGATTCTGATTCATTCTGACTGTGTGCTGTATGCAAAAGATGTATATGCATAGAATACCTGAAGGACTTTTGCAAAAAACATGCACTGCACAGCAGTGTTATCCCTATATATATCCCACAATGCAATCAACCTGACTTGACCTTTTCCATTTCCAAAGCAAAAGTAAAAGAGCACATATTTTCAACATTTTTCTCAATTCATTATTTGACTGAACAAAGACATTTTTACAGAATACTAGATTTCAAAATGTGAAATCATCCATTTTTGATTGGACAACACACACTTAAATTAAACATACTGGAAACTGAGTTTACATCTCACAATTCGTTTTTTTCTCTAGAGTTTCTGTCTCACAAGTCTTACTTTTTTCCTCTGAATTTTGAGTTTACTTCTGTTTTTTCCACCTCAGAATTAAAAAAAAGGTCATTTCAACCTTTCTCACAATTCTAACCTGATAAAATATATAAAGATATAAAAAATTGTGAAGAATAATGCCACAACTGTGGCATAAAAAGTCACAACTACCTTATTTATATGTTTATCCTATGACAGAAAGTTGGAAACAAGCTTCCATACATTTTGTGAGTGGTCATTATTTTCATCATACGTGTCGAAAGTGCTGTTTAATTGTTTGATTCTTTAATTCGTTGTTTAAAACGGTTAAATGATGGGGAAAAATGCAAGTAGTACGCTAGTATTCATTCCCAAACATCTCTTTATGTCCCTGTCATGCAAGGTCACTCACTGCCATCATCTATCAAACCTCTACAAGCTGACACCACAGCACCCATCTCTTCAGGCTGTAATGAAGCTGTCAGTGCCAGTCGGATCGACCGGGCAGTAAACACAGCACCAACAGCAGAGAAGCTGAAAAACAGACATCTATCAGGCTGGTGTATGGAGACAGGTATTATGGATAACGTCTGAGGAGTGACACACAGCTAGAGGGAGCAGATTGTCGGAGTTTGCTCATAAATAAGACGCAGAGTGCTTTTATATAACGTATAATATATACAATCATATACTGTATGTGTAGTGTCTAAATGTGTATGAGAAAATCTCTTCTCACCTGCAGGGAATTATTTTATCTGACAGACTAGGAATTTCTCACCTTGATTTATCAGGGTAATTGCCTTTGGGGTTATTATAGTTATAGGAATAATAGGTGCAGCTTTGAAGTACACAGTTTGTAGTATGCACAATAATATGCATCCATGACTGAGGAAACCATAAATATACTACGGCACATTAAAAACAGTGTCAACTTACTTTTTGAACAGGTGTCGGTCCAGCATTACACCATCTGATGTGGATTTGAGGGTGACTTTCAACATGTCCATACATTCTTTTAGCCGTGGATCTCCCGTTCGAAGTCCAGTGGCCTTCAGTGCCTGAATGCATATGTAAACAAGAGATTTCCATGAGCACAAATAACAGTTAACAGCTAACTGTCTATGGCATTAACTCGTTACTATCATCAATCCCAACACTCTTATCAGGGGATTTCACTTCCTTTGTTGGTGAGGTTCCGATAACAGCAACAACACAGCAGTAATTGTATGCACTGACCCTTCGGTCATACTATTGCAAAGAACGATGACCTATGAACACAAAACATGCTACAGCCAATAATATCCGTCCTTGCAAATACAAATGTGTGTAAGGGGAGTGCTGTCACTCACGGTAATGAATTTGTGAGCTGGGATCCTCTCCTGGCCTTCAGCAATACTGTAAAACAGCAGGTCTTCCAAGCTGGGCAGGATGCCAGCCTTCCTTCTCCTGGAACAAGAGAGAAAAGTGCATTGACATTGAGTGATCTGACCTTAACCAATGACTTCTACCATGATAAAATCTGCCATAATCTACAGCTACAAGACAAGACATATTAGATCAGCCTGGAGTATTTTAATGTCATGTGTTCAAATACACTATGAAACCGTCAAAGGAATTTAATTAGTTGGGGTTAAAGTTAGAAAATATAACCATGCAACAAAAATTTACAGAAAAAAGAATGAGTCAGTGAAGAGTTAAAGAGCCCATGAAATTACTTGACTTAATTCTTGTGCTGACATTTTGTTTGTTTGTTTGTTTGATTTTTACAGAAATTTGGGACAGGACATTGGGCTTGATAAATGACATTTATATAACTTGTATATCATAATTACATTAAATTTTTATATAGATCATATATCATAATTACATTTATATATTTAATATATTTTACTAACACATTAGAATAATCATTGAATTATAATATTGATAATAATAATACGCCTATTATTAATTATAGGAATATTTTTTTATTAAATGAATGTATTAACCATTCTAAAAAAATTATAAACTAATACAAAAATAAATAAATAATAAATATTATATAATTAATAATAATAATAATGGTAGGCATTAGTTATACTTTGGTAGAGAAAGACTGTAAATGTAAAAGGATTTCCACAATTATTACAAATATGCAATGGGTAAATATATATTTGGGTTTTAAATAGTTAAATTGGGGAAAAAATAAAATGGTCATTTATTGTTTTTATTAAAATATCTTAAACTATGTTTTTATTAAAATATCTTAACTATGCTGACATCATGTTACAGGTCTTCTGTGATGCAAACATGCATTAGCAATTGCACAATACACGAGTGTAGATTCACTCTTGCCAAGTTCTATTAAGAGCCGACCTAACATAGCTATTGCATTATCACATTTAGATGGCTTTGAGTCTAATGGAGCTCTGCATAAGCTGCTGTGGCACTGAGCCACAACAGAGTCTGGCCAGGACTGTAGTTCCCAGCAGCCTACCAAAACATCCTCTCACAGAGCACCAACAGCCCCACCTTCCCACCACGAACATTTCCAGAACTACAGCTTTCCTTTACCAAACTTGATTTACATTTGCTCTATTCATTTTCCTAGAGATTATTTGATTACGTTTCATTTTAATGCTTTTTTTAAATTTAATTTAAAATACACATCTAAGGGTGTCATGGGAATGGCACAAAAAGGTGATTTTGATCTTTTGGGATCATTTGTGAGGATTATGAAACATAGAGAGGGAATTTGTTGAGAAAGGATTGATAGAGGTGAAAGACTGGAAGTGACAATTCAAATCATACTTACACACAAACAAACAGCAGGCAGAGCAATGAGGGAGAGAAAAACATGCAGAATGAATGAGAAACATACAATAAACAGATTAATTAAATCAATTATATGACAAACTTAAAATTGATCAAACAATCAAGAATCTTTCATGACGTATAATGTATTAAATATTCATTTCATTTCATTAAAGAAAAATGGGGAAAAGAAGGTAATTTTTTGATATCGAATGAGGAGTGGCTTGATGTATGTAAATTCCCGTGGAAATGTACTAACTCTCACATATGGCGGGAGTTTGGGTGGAAGTGCCTTATCAGATTTGTTATTACACCGAAACAGAAAGCACATATTGAGGGAGGGGACACCAAATGTTGGAGACAGTGTGGGTTTCGGGAAGCCAATCAGGGCTTCGTGGGGCAGTTGTGGCCTAATGGATAGAGTTGGACTTGTAACCTGAAGGTCGTGGGTTCGAGTCTCAGGTTCGGCAGGGATTGTTGGTGGGGGGAGTGAATATCCAGCGCTCTCTCCACCTTCAATACCACGACTGAGGTGAGACCCTTGAGCAAGGCACCGCAACCCCAACTGCTCCCCCATTGGCTGCCCACGGCTCCGGATGTGTTCACGGTGTGTGTGTGTGTGTGTGTGTGTGTGCGCGCGTGCGTGTTTATTCACTACTCACTGATGTGTGTGTGTGCACTTGGATGGGTTAAATGCAGAGCACAAATTCCAAGAATGGGACACCATACTTGGCCACACATCACATCCTGTCCTGTCCTTTTCATATATTTTGGGATAAAACCTTTCTGGGCAGAGCTTCATAAAGCAGTGGAAAGAATTTTTAACACTACACTGCCTTTGGACTTTTGCACATTATATTTAGGAAATGCTGATTTCCAGACAAGATGGCCTGAAAAATACCTATTTGGCATTTTAACATCTGCTGGTAAAAAAGCACTTACTCAAGGCGTTGGTTGCTTCCTGAACCCCCCACAATACAAGAATGGATGGATACAGTAAATTTATGTTATGTCTTCAGAAGAATGTGTTCAGAAAAGTCTGGTCCAAGTGGGTCGAATATGTAAGGCCATTACGGCCAGACTTTGTGGAGGTATAAAACAAATGACCCTTCCCTTCTGAATGAAAAATGTTATTGTAATCTCCCTTACATACCTTTTCCACATTGGTCTCCATCATAGACCAAGAACAAACACTTAACATAATTTAGTATGGAGTTTGATTAAGTATATACCTGACCTCCCCCGAATTGTAAATTGATTATTGTTATTAATATTATTTAATTTTGTTTTGTATTATGTAAGAAAAAGAAAAATTGAATGGCAGAGAATAATGTAACTACATCTGTTTTGAAATAATGTACTGTTGCTTATGCTGCTACATCAAAATTAAAAAAAAAAATAATTAATTTCAACTCGTCCCTCAGTCAGGAATGAATAAAGAAAAAATTAACTGATATGATATTTTTCAGTCTATTATTTCAAAATACAGGGTTAACCTCAACCCTCTACGCGCACCTTGGCAATATAATCGCCATTGGCTAGTACATTTTTTTGTTTACTCGCCAGACTGATATACTATTTTACACAC